GACATTTCTTTCTCGTTTTTTTGTTTTTTTACGCGTCACGCACGACGGACTAAGTGAAAGAGGGACTACTCGTAGTCTACGTTTACGTGAATTTATGATTGAAGTTTTAGTTGCCTTATTGCTTAACAGCGTAACTCCAGACAACATACAGACTCACGCATCTAAAGCACACATGCAGTTACACACGAACGACGAATACTCTTCTACCTGATTTGCTTAGTCCTCGTCCACAATACGCCGCAGAAATTTGAAAACGCAGCTTTATTTCTACGGTTAGGCCTACCGTCCACTCTAATCCGTTACGAAAATGGCGCTTTTCAAAAACGTTCTTCAAACCGGAGAAATTTAAACACGCTGGCTTTTCGTTTTGGTGTGGACGGAAAACATTTCGAAAACGGAGCTTTTCGAAAACGATATATTCACGATAATCACGTGATTTTTCTATCCGTGTTTTCCTCAAACACAAACCTAACATGACCGGTGATTAATGCGTTTTTAAATTCCTCAAGCGTAGTGTGGAAGCAAAACATTTGATGCGTTTTCAGAGTGAAACCGCCGTTTTCAACTCCCTCCGGCGTAGTGTGAACGCGGGGCCTTAAACGAAGAGCTAACTCTCGAAATGTGTGCTCTTTAAACACGCTACAGTTGTTGATTCACCTTCAGCAACTTCAAGTTGATAAAAAGATGTTTCACTCGCCCGCTAAATCAATACAGTTGCTTTAAAAACGACTCGCTTTTGTGCTTCATATGCTGTCTGAAGTTCCTGCTGTGCGAACACACTGCCCAAATGGACAAATAATTTATGTTTGGAGGACAGACGGTAGATAGACTCACCATCATTTCATCGAATGAGACTGAACTGTTATCAAGGTTAGGAGATTCTGAAGGAAGAAAACAAGACGATTAATCTGACATAAGACGAATAAGTAATCAGGTCAATAACAACTGCTTTATATCTTCATAGTATGGCTTATCACAGGAAGAAACACTTCACCAGGGAACATCGCATTTTTTTACTTAACGCTTCGTCGCAAAACCCGCTTATGCAGCCGGTTAGACAAAACAAAAAACAGTTTCATTTTTAAACTATCCACAGCGGTTGAGACTAATGCAGGCAATATGTTATTGAGAAGAGCTGCTGGCCAAACGTTTAACTCATTTCACGCCTTATCAAGAACTCCAGCTTTGAGCCGTGTTGTTTTACATGGTACTAGCCGTA